TCTAAAAATATTCCATTAATGTAATTAATGACTGACTCCTTCCAGCATCAGGAAACTGAGGCTGCAGCACCGGGCTGTGTGGTGGGAGGGCACTTCAGCAGAGACCCACACTTCATCGTGTTCAGACCAGCACTTCAGTACGTACTTAAGTCCCCAAGTCCAGTAAGACTGAAGCACATGTCGAACGGCTTTGCTGAGTCAGAGCCGGAGATATGGAAATAACGTGGATGCCCCTCTTAGCTTCAAAGAAACTTTTCGTGGAGGGCTCTGCGCAGGCACACAGATCTGCTCCAGGTGGCTCAGCCCGGGGTTAAGAACTTGCTTATTACAGAGTCAGAAATTAGAATTGAAACACAAGAAATGGAAGCACAATTTTTTTTTTTTTTTTTGTATGTGAGTATAGGGACCAAATCCTGCGTGCTTGCCTCATATAAACAGTTTGACTGAAATCTTGCTGACTACCAATCTCTGGAAGGTGGCTCCAAGAAGTAAACAAACAAAAAGTGCATGCAGAGAAGCTGTGATTAAAGACAGCAACCTAGGAGTTATGTTGGCTTTGTTTTCAGGGCCAAAAACTCCTTCTTGCAATGTGGTTAACATCAGAGGGCTTCGTTTGACGTATTGTAATGGGCACTGATCAAAACCTAAAGAAAAACCATGGGTCCTGCTCCAAAAGAGTCAGCATCAAAAGAAGAAATAAGGGAAAGACAGAAATAGTTTTAAGGCAGGGTTATCCCTTTATTTTTCTGTTCAAGTGCCTTTTGGGATACCTTTAAATAGACTGCTAATTCACGCTGTCTGGCATAGACAGGTTCAATGAGGAAATACAAGAATATAGGATGAGATTGATCCTTGGAATAACTAGCAACTGCCCTACTGACAGTTTTAGAGCTGGGGTCAAACCTTCTTGGAGTTTAATATTTCTTATCATCATCCTGTGGTAGCTCTTTAAGGTCTTCAGAGTCAGTGTCCCTATGTGCAAATGCATACCTGTGCTGTTTCACTTTCAGGGTGTTTCACCCCTATGTACAAACGTGGACCTTTCCTCTTTCATTTTTAGGATGCTTAGCCAAAAGACCATTGATCACAGTGCAGGCACAGATTACTTTTTCTTTTTATGAACAGTATATACATTTTGTATGTACATTTATGTGCTCTCTTCTTTTTCTCCTCTTTGGTGAAAAAAAGGATGTTAAAGAGGTTCAGCCTGCTGACTTTTGCATTACTAGTGCTTTTTCTGGAGTGTTAATGCATCTTTTGAGATGGGAAGCCTCAGTCTTGCTTGAACAGATGAAAGGTATTACTCCTCCCACTGCGAAACGGGTTTGGTCCTGCTCTAGTAACAGGAGCCCTTAATGAAGTTGTCACCCGTGATTTCTTGCCCTCCAAACACACAGTTTTAGCTCTCCTTGCTTGAGGAGTGTAGGTGTGCTTAGCATCCGGGCACGAGTACCAAGGTGCTAACTCCCCCTGCACTCCACTGCCTGCATCTCCATACCGTGCTTTTGCAGGGGAATTATTCAGGAGTCACGTTGTGCATAGATGTAAGGCTTTGCAGGATTGAACCTCTTAGTTAGGTGTTTTGCTCTTTCAATGCCAAGACAGTTTTTTTTTTTTTTTTTTTTTTTTTTTTTAATTCCAGAGTATTTTGTGATTCTGGTTGAAAGATTAGCCCTTCAGGGAATTTGCTACAAAAAATGGTTTTAGCCCTGTCTTCCTGCTGTCAATGTTGAAGACAAGTTTATGTTGTAACGAACACTTAAGTAGAAATACTTTTCAGAGAATCTTTTGTAAATCTTCTGAAGTGCTATCTGGGGATAAAAATCCTGTGTGATTATTTTATGTTTGCTCTTCCAAATTGCTAAGACTGTGTGAAAAAACAGTTTAAGTTTCAGCATGTACCTTTATTTGCTCTTCCTTCTTTTTCATCTCCTTTCTTTCACTCAAAAGTCTATCTTTTTTTTTTAACTGTATTTTGCTATGATCATTTGTTTAATGGATTTATAGTGTTTACACCCTTACAGAGAACTCTAGGTAGGAAACCTTTAAAAGGTGTTACATTTTGCAAATTATTTGAGCCATGAAGGTAATTAAAAGCACCATGCACAGGGCTTGTAGGACCAGACCGACTGTTAAACTAAATAGATGGGGAGTGGTGTCACATTCCAAAATATGCAAGAAGGAAGCAGTACCCAAACCTTGCATATATCACGGAACATTCTATACTGTGGAGCATATTCACATCCAAATATGGCTCTTAAATCCTTTGTGAATGGAAACAAGCAGCCTGTTGCATCTGGCCAGCCTTAGGCAGCAGAGCCCAAGCGAACTTCATGCCTCCCTGGAATGTGCACATTTATTTCTCTAACCCATTTGCTCATGTGCGCTTGCAGTCCCCTTGACTCCTTCCACTTCAGAGGGCGATATGTTTAGTTTTCAGCCCTCTTCTCTGGGGTGTACAAGCTCAGAGAAGTGTGCGGATAGGTGTAGTTCACCAGGTGGAACCATCTGTTGCAGTGGGATCGACGGCGTGTGGCAAATCAGTAAAGAAGAGTGAGGTCTATTAATATATTTATGTAACCAACATGCAGGTGCCCATCCTTCAGTGACCTTCCCGTTAGCTCTCTGCTAACATCCAGGCACTTCGTAGTTTGAAAGCAATGCTGCGCATTAACCACCTATGGTGTGAAACAATTGTGCTTAGCTTTTAGACACGTGAAGATCTTTACTCATTCTCCAGTACATTTTTGAAATAGTTTGGCTTTTTGGTCCCAATTAGACAAACCTTGCTGAGCCTGACACTCTGTGATCATAGTAAAAATTATTAGCTATCCAGACATTCAAAATCAGGAGTCAGGCTCCAAAAAAAAAAAAAGAAAAAAAAAATCACAAGACCAACTAAAAGGTTGCAGGACATGTTTGGGACTCTTTTTGTGTTACCTTCTCTAATTCAGGGCTCTAAAGATTGAGATTTTCACTGCTTTTTAGAGGAAGGCAAAGTTAATTTTCACAAGAGGTAAAATTCTTTTGACATAACAGGATTTCAGGTCTTGAGTTTTCAGAGACATCATAATTTTTCAGTGCAATCAGCAGAGTTGATATGAGCAAGGATGCCTGTATGCTCAGAATATTTTACTGCGACAGGAACCCTGGCTCAGCATCCCTCCCTTGGACATAGCTATACCAGCCAAGCTATGCTTCAGATCAGTGTTAGGAAAACATCCTGCACATGTGAAGCGAGCTGAGCTGGTAAAACTTTAATTTCACTGCATCTTGGGGATTCTGCTGGCAAAAAACAAAGACTGCAGGATCAAATCTCCTTCCTCTTTGAGCAACAGAGCTGTGCTCCCCAGAGCCTTTAGTCCAGGCATTCTTTGATTAGGGATCAGCGTAGTCTATCGGAGAGTTACGCCCCGTCCTTTAGTGGTTTTTCCATTCTCCTCTTGCCTAACCAAAATCATATCTCAACAACAACAAAAAACACATTTATCTTTCTAAACCGGCATCTCAGCACTGCCCCACCCACCTAATGGAAGAAATCCATCCATGTGGCCAAAGGCATCACCCAAAATGAGTTAGGTCCTCAGCAAGCAATAACCAACACCGACAGAAGCAGAACAGAGTTGGCTTGCACTAGCTGAAGGTCTAGTTCAGCTCTTAACTCACCATCACAAAAGAACATTTGAGTTAAATAATATCCAGCAATATATGACTCCAATAAAATAGTTTTTAAATAGCCTGGCACTTGTAATTAGTCTAGTCATAATGTATATATCATTGTATCTACGTGTCTTCTGTGCTTCCTTTTCTTCTGCTTCATTTCCCAAGTGGTGGATTGTTAATTACAGAGCTGCAATTAATTTTTTTCGTGTCAGACCACTGTGCTGGACTGCAGCCTTCAACCTCTTATAAACAGATGTCACCACAGCTAATGTGTGATTGAGTGCAGGTTAAAATCATTATCACAGTTTAATGTTACATATAAAGAAAAATGCATTTTTATCTGCATTCCCCCATTATCTCTCTAATGACACCATGTTTTTTCTCTCAGAGCTGTAGTCATTGTTATTTTAAGTGCTTGTTAGTACAGCTGCGGGGAAAGACACGATCAATTTTTCATTTGGGAAAAGACACAACAGCGAATGTTAGTTAATGTCTCCATTTTAGATAACTAGATAAAATAATAGGTATGGTTAGAGAGCAATCTAGCAGTTGGACATGGGATTCTTCATTATGTTCCAGTGAATTAAACAGCTCAAGTCATCTGCTTTTACTGTCTTTCATTAATGGTCAGATTTCAGGCATTCATTAATTTGGGGGAGATTGTGTGTGTCTTGCTCAAGTAGCAGCTCTGTATTACCCCAAGCTCTCAGGAGATCCATCTCTGTGACACCACCACATACCCCCCAAAGCAAGATATTATGAGCTTTTTAATTTCATACAGAAGTAGTCCCCATGCACAAGCCAAGAGGTGACATTTTTAATGAGGAGGCTTTTTCCCTGTGTTTTTTTTAGGTTGTACGTACACCCTGACTCCCCATTTACTGGAGAGCAACTGCTGAAGCAGATGGTGTCCTTCGAAAAAGTCAAACTCACCAACAACGAGCTGGATCAGCATGGCCACGTGAGTAGCCCTTCTCGTGGGAAAGGGTAAAGGAACTGCCAGAGGGGAATCGCTCACTTGTGCCACAGGGCTAAGCTTGAGGATGAGAGACCACAATGGGAAAAGGACGCCTTGGCCCCCAAGTTACATGTTTCTTGGCCAGCCTCTCCTACCACGGTGGAGGAGGACACTGCATGAAGCTTAAACATGTTGGGTTTGAATGTTTCTTGTAGAGGAACAGGTGACTTCAGAAATCAGGGGTTTTACCTTTCATAAAATAGAGCCCAGGTCAATGAAAGTGTTCAAATCATGCTCCTGCTGCTGTCAGAAGCAGGACATCCCTTGGGGACAAGTTCAGGGTGGAGTCGAGCATCAAAGCGATGGAGAGAAGGAGGGCAGGTGAACTTTTTTTTGTGCTTCTGCCCCCAGTTTGCTGTGACTTGGCAGTACGCTCTGCCACATGCAGTCGCTAGCAAGGTCACACGCTTTTCCATGTGTGCTTGGAAGCTCCCTCTTGTTACAGGCAACCTGTTGGGATTGGGTCCATCAATAAGAGATCTTGTACTTCCAGACCCAATACGGCACGGGCACAGAGTCACCAGAAAATACTGATGTGACACCAAAGTAAGGGCTATCGAATTATAAAAATAAGTGTGCATCGGTTGCTCTTAAAATAACTGTAGGCTACCTGCAAGGCAAGGTGCCACAGAGTGGACTTGGACCTCTACAGAAGACAGGTTCCAGCTCTGATCAGTACCAGCTCATTGTCACAAGCCCTGAGGGTGGAAGCTAGTAAATAGGCTGCAGAGCTGCTGGCCATAGGTTCCTGCTATGCTCCATCAGCAGGGACTGTCTAATGGTAGGTGGTAAGAAACAGTGTTTCCTGTCCTGTCCCCTCCCCAAAAGTGTCTGTGAAGTGCAGGAATGGCTCGGTGCCACCTCCAAACTGCAAAGGAAGAGCTAAAAGTGTTGCCTCTGAGCTCGGCAGTTCCCCAGGGGAAGGTTGGAGGAGCAAGAGGATGGATTTGAGAAGGTTGTTGGCTGATGACGGAGCAGATAAGAAGAATGAGCGTAAAGGCAGTGTTAGTAAACCAGGTGTTGAGGAGAGAGGAGTGATTTTGAACTCTGAAGCACATGTAGAGGTAACTAACCTGTAAAGTTGAATAATTGTGGCATCCATCCCCTAGTGTGCTATTTATTGCCTTTTCGGACTTGTTGGAGACAGTGGCCATCTGTCTGAGCTGTGTTCTGTGCAATGCTTCTCATCTGAAAGGCAGTTTTTGCTTGTTTCACGACCTAAGAATTGAACCACAGCCACGATCACTTAAAATATATCCAGGAAACAACAACAACAAAAGTAGTTTAAAAAAAAAAATCCCACAAAACAGAAGACAACCCAGATAGATGTCTGTGTGTTATTCTTTTGCAAAGATCTGTCTGTGCGTATATTTTTCTTGAATCTGGTTCCCACCGTTGCTCCCTTCCTAACTAGCAGAAAATGTCTTTTTTTTTTTTTTTTTCCCCTTCCCTCTCCTTTATTTCATAATCTGTAGAAGGGCAAAGCTGAAGATTTGTGGGCTCTATCACCGGGTGATGATAGAGCAGTATATGTGCGCATTTAAAAAGAAAAGCATTTTTCATCATAACAGGGGCCATGTGTGCCTCTAATAAAGGGCTCGCAGCAGTATATTGCAAACTAGTTAGGAGCAGTGCAGTTCCCAGAAGCCCAGATGAATGTAAAAAAGAAGTAGAGCTGAGAAGCTGTCGGGAACAGAGACATGTGACAGAGCAAGATGTAATCGTCTCAAATACAGGCAGTGGGAGAAAATGATCCGTAACATTTGAGTTATGGCCTCGGTTAACATTTGAAGAAGTGGCAGAGGTGGATCCCATTCCTTTTGTGAAGATTTTTGACAGCCAAAGTTGATGGAAAGTTTTGCATGTTCAGTTAAGAACAAGCCCTGAAGGCTCGATCCCGTGTTTAGATTTGCATGACAGGTGTTAACGCCTTTGCAGAGCGCTCCGTTTTTTAATATTTTGTGGTTTTTTATGTTCCAAATTAGGGTGTCAGGTTTTGTGTGCTGCCTGTGAATTTCTTCCTTAATTCTACTGAGCATCCAATGAAGCTATGTAAATACCATCATTGGATGCTCAGTAGAATTAAGGAAGAAATTCATTCTCTGGAGGCTTTAAGGAGGGCTTGTTGTGCCATGGCTGATGGCATTTCCAAGCTCCCATGAAGCTCAGAGAAGTGGAGAATTGAAATGCCTCCTGAAGCCTCTCCCTTCAGTTTGAAAGAGCCCTTATTCCCTGATGAGATCTTTTTAATTGACCTGCTAAAATCTTAATTATGTTTGATAAGGCGTGTTGGTTCCTGAGGAAGTTTTAATGACCTAAGAGATGCCTTTAAATACTTGTTATAGGAAGAGAAGCTGGATCCAACCTGATTCCAGTTTAGTTCTAGTTGCCTGCTTTCTCCATCCTCCAGAAGCCAGTTTGAGTCATTAAGGTAATTGTGGTGTTTTATTTGTAGGGTGGTTCGTTTCCTGAAAAGGAAACTGAAGAGAAGGGAGACATTTGTTTGTTCTAGCGTGTTTTTTTCTTTTCCCTTTTTCTGAGAATTTTGGAGTCGGCAAGTGTCTCTGCTTGTGTATCTTCATCAGCACGCACAACCCCATAGCTATGTCCAGATTCTCCCCAGGCATCAGGCAGAAGTCTTATCTCTGTGTGCATGACATACAGCTCGCTCCATGGAAACATTTTCAGATATCCTTACCAGAGGAAGGAAATGGCTCCTGTCTCTGGATTTCTACAGCTGAGAGAGTAACGAATTTTTTTTCTGGTTATGGAACATTTATGAATGTGATTTTTTTTTTTTCTGGATTTCTGGTGATGTTTTTCCCACAGACTGCTTCTTTCAGGACTTTTGGTTGCGCTTAGTTGGGGTGATATTGTTTCTGGTTTATGGTGAGGTGAACCGTGAGTGTATACACTATTGTAATTGCTTTTCTGGCATTTATGATAGCAAAACTCAAACACATGAATGTTTGCAAAAGCAAACACAAAGGTGTGAACATGACCAACAAGTAACTGTGAAAGCAGGGGTTTCAGAATAGCCACAAGGAGTTACGTCTGGGGCATTTTTTTTTTTTAAGTCAACCTGAAAAAAGTGAGGAACCCCCATGCTTTTAGAAGGCAAACATGCCCGGTACTACTCTTCTTTGGTGGAAGCTGCATTCACAGCATAGTTTCTGAATTCAAAGTTACCTTTGGGGATTTTGCAGCTGGCATCCAGATTGCCTCTGGTGACCGGTCTGGAGCCAGTGGGAGCCAGATGCCTCCAAACCCACCTGCCCTTACAGTAAGCGGGATCCTGTAAGGATGGATCCTGGTCACCTCCCTTGCTGCAGCACGAAGGCAGGTGGGATGGCCTTTTCCATGCAGGTACGGGACTGCTTGGACTTTGAGACTGCCTGACTTGGCTTGCCTCTGGTGAGAATGTGTAGGTAGAGCATCACGGCAGAGGATGTCATCCATGTGCACTTTTGGTTTGGGAAAACTTTCTTAAAGGATTCCACCATCTTGTTTGAGAAATCAAGTTTCTTTATCACAATTTGCATTCACTGAAAGGAAAGGGCATGTGTGGGAGCTGCTCTGTCTCAGTTTTTCCTCCTTCTGCTCAGCTGCTGCTCAGATGTAATGCCTTGGTGTGGAAATCGCATCCCTGAAAGGCAATGGGAAGCCCCAAGCTCTGTGGGCCAGTCCCTCAGTCAGATCATCACCATCCAAGCACTGTCGTTTAAAATGTGTTTTCCCAGAGCAGCCCATGTGACTAGGCTGGTAAAACAAAATTTTACGAAGAGGGGGGAAAAGTGCTGAGCAACCTGGTCTAGTGGAAGGTGTCCCTGCCCATGGCAGGTGGGTTGGAACTCGATGGTCTTTAAGGTCCTTTCCAGCCCAAACCGTTCTATGATTCTATGATATTAATGTCAGGATCAGTGGCCGTTGTGTGTGAGCATGCATAAAATGGTGAAATTATTTGAGAAAGGGTAAAAAGCAGACATGCAATGCTTTCAGGATGATGGTTCTCCATCACTGTAATGACTTTCCTCTCGCTGTGTGCCCCCCACGAAGTCACAGTGCAAGTCTTAGCAATATTTGGCCCTGAAGGAGCAGCGAAGACAATGCTGATGGAAATTTTAGTCATGCCAAAGCTGTCTCTAAGCTCTCCACTCCAATGCAACGTGCAACTTTTCTCATTGACTGAGTTAGCATGAAATACTGCACAGCTTCTGCTGTGTTTCAGCCGAAGTCGACGCTTCCCCAGGAATGCACATTAGCTATTCCAGATGTACCGAGCTGCCTGTTAACGTCCTGCAAAATAGAACCACCCACACTGTTGCCAGTTTTGTCTTGTGACTGTGATTATATCCAAAACAAGTACTGGTGTGAGCAGAGCTCTGTATTTAATTCTTACATTGTAATACTGTGGTTAGAGGCAGCCCAACAGGCCTCCAGCCAGCGGTAACTGGAGCAAGTGGGACTCTTGGTGTGATGCTGGCGAACGTTGAAATTGGTTGGTTGGTCCATTAGGTTTGGAATTATTTTGGGAGCTCGTAAACAATTATTAATGATGATAAAATGGCAAAACCTGGTCACTTTGGAGTTCTGTACTGGTTTCCCTCCTTGCTTTCGTTTTTTGTGGTCTGCGGTAAAGAGCTTCTATGAAATGGTTTGCTTTAAAGGTTTGCCATGGTAAAAGGATCTTGAGAATTTTATTTTTGTTCAGCTGGTTTGTGCTGCTGCTGGCGGTGTTTTTTTGGTTGTTTTGGGTTTTTTTGTTTTGTTTTGTTTTGTTTTGTTTTGTTTTGAGGGGTTCCTGGCTGTTTTCCTTCTGCACCTGTATATTTGTGCAAGCGTGGTTTCTTGGTCCTGAGCGTTCAAGAGTTACACATTCCCCCTTGCAGCTGACACCTGCAAACTTGGGCACATGTTAGCAATAACAAATTCGGTATGTAAAACATCTTACCTGTAGGAACAGGTACTTATGCTTCAAAAAATGCATGCTCAGCATGGTGTAGGAGTGAGAGGAAACCAGCTCCTGGGCTGCCTGCTTTTCTATCTTCATTTTCTGGAACTGCCCAAAGGAGCTGGAGAGTTTGCTTTGAAGATCAGCCCCTGGGTGCTTAGATTTCGGCTGTCTCCCCTGCAGTGTTAATTGGATAGTTTTTTTTGTCCCCCGATGGTTTTGCAGCCTTCAAGGGTCCTGTTATCCTTCCTCTCGGGTCAGTCCCTTGTCACTCTCTCTTGCAGATTATTTTGAACTCCATGCACAAGTACCAGCCAAGGGTCCACATCATTAAGAAGAAGGATCACACAGCTTCTTTGCTAAATCTGAAATCAGAAGAGTTCAGGACATTTATCTTTCCTGAGACAGTTTTTACTGCAGTTACCGCCTACCAGAACCAATTGGTGAGTACAGTTGCTAATTTCCATGGATTTAACCAAATCCCACCCGGTTGAAAACTCCCTTTTCCCCAATTTAAACTAGGAAACTTTCTGGGATAACCTTCCTTTCCATCCTAATGTCTGTAGTGACTGTGCCCAACCTAATTCATAGTAATTCTTATGTATACAGGTAGTACTCCTAACTTCAAAAGGGCGATGAGGATTATTCATGGGAGTAAAGATGACATGAAAGAGGCTTTCATTTGTCTTCCCTTCCATCTATACAAAATCCATTTGCATATTATAATTTAGTCCTTTTCTAATTATAGCTCATTAAGGAACTCTTCGTATTTGCAGTGATCTTTCATGCCACGAGCTATCAGCTGAGAGATATTCTGGTTTGCACATGATTTCACGAGCTTACAAAGTTGACTAATTAAGCTGTAAGGCTCAAACGTAAGAGAAATCACTCAGAGATATGCTTTTCAGAGGCTGCCCAGATTACATCCAGATGTCTGAATTTCAATTTGCATGCCAGGGAATAATATATACAAAATGGAGGAGATCATAACAATGGATTGCTAATGAGTAATTTTAGGAAGTACATAAACAACCGGAGAGCAGGGGCTCTGCTCGACAGTGGATAGGGCTTGAATATTTCAGCCAGTGGAAGTAGGTGTTGGCTTCAGTGTGACTCAGAGTGTGCTCTAAGGGCTTAATGACTTAAAAAAAAAACAAACCTTCTTTCCCTCTCTAATGCCCCCAAGTTGAGAAAAATATAAGTAGTGTCCAAACATGTGGGCAGGCAGCATCACAGAGTACCTGCCGATTTATTTAAAGAAGTCTGCGTTTCTGAATATGAAGCAAAAGTAATTAATTTCTAAATGCTGTAAATAAAATTAAACTACTGCATGGGGGCTAAAGAAGGTATGAAGATAATAGTACTAGTATTGTTGATCCTTATGACAGACCCCACATCCTGCTTCGAGGATTTAATAACAGAATGTGTTGATTTTCAACTCAGGTTAGTATCTGAATGCTGCAGAAAATGTATTCAGCAGCTGGCAATCCCAAGAATATAATGTTTGGACAGGCAGTTAGATTTTTCCACTGAACTTTCTATAGAAACCAGCAAAATAGTAACAGGCACAAAACCAGCTAAACCTTGAATTTATTTCTGTAGATTCTGTAGATGGATTTGTGTTTACCGACAGTATTTACACCAGAGATGTTTCTAAACTAACCTTCCCAAAGCACATACATTAAGTTCTGGAAAATTTCTCAATGGAACATCTCCGGAACCCCTAGAGGTTGATGCTGTCATTTTATTTATGACTAATGAAAATGGAGCCTTTTTTCATTTTTGCCATTTCTTTCAGAACTGTTTTAAGGAGGGGCTGATTACATTTCTGGAGGTTATTAGATAAAAGCTAAATACATTACACTTTCAACAAACTATCTCATAATTTAAGATTTAAAGGGCATGCATTTATTTAAACAGTCAAACCACTGCCACAGAGTTGAATTGTAGGTCAGATTTCATTTAAAAATGCTTTCTAGCAGATGTTCTCTGATTGTTTGTGAGACAGTCTCTCAGGAAAAATATGGCCATAAATGATTGCGAGTCTCATCTGGCTTTGGTGAGTAGATACAAAAATTTTCTCTTGTGATGTCATACCAAATCTTTAATATTAGGAAAATGGAAGTTTGATTGGTGAAAATAGGCTTGAGAGATTAATAGACTTCCTTATTATTCTGCAGCGCAGTTGGCTCCGTGTATTGGTGATCTAAGTCCATGGGACTAGTTAGAGCTCGTCTTTGTTCAAGGTAGTTTTCACAATGCTGCCATAAAAACATTTGCTGGACATGAGGCACAAACCAGCCCCTCTTTCCAACAGCACCACGAGTACACCGGCTGGCAGGGAAGGCAGCAGTCCAGGGGTGCAGTGGGTTTCCCTGGGGTGACAGAGCAGGTGGGTGGCAGCCACAGAGCATCGTTCAGAGACTGCAGACCAGCAATTAAATACTCAGGTTTTGTCTTTGTAAGCCTGTCCCTCCCTCTCTGTGTTTCCCTTGCAGAAGACCTCTTTCTCAGAAATAAAAGTTGGGTTCAGTTGTTGTCTTTTTTTTTTTTTTTTTAATTTTGGGGAAGAAGCCACTCCATTTTGAAATACCTTTTTTTGACGAGAACATTTTATTGTTTAAGGATTTGGAAAAGATTCCTTTTCTTTCTGAGCCTTGAGGGCCAGCTGTTAAAAATGAGGTTGTGGGCTCTTCAATACAGGCTCTTTTTGAGGAAAGCCAAGCTGACACAGCTACCCAGTATGAAATGCTGAGAGCTGTTGGATTTTATAGGCTTCAACTAGAGTTGATGGCATTCACTGCCTTTGCAGGACTGGTCCTGTGTTGTCCCTCCTCAAGTTCTAACTCCCACTTAGAGTTTTATTTTTAATTCTTGGAAGACGTATGTCTGGAAAACCTGAATAGTATGCTGATGTCTCAGTTTCATTCACCAAATTTCATTTGGTTGGACAGCTAGAAAATTTCACAAGGGCAATGGTATATTTTTTTTTCCCTGCTCCCAAAACCCCACAACCTATACGTGAGAAGTTTGACTGGGAATTTAAGGGGAGCTCTGATGCTTTGGGGCAGAGGGACTCCCGATCGGTGGGTTACTCTGGCAGAATGTAAAGGCTGACAGGGTGCACTGGGCGGGTTTGCAGCTGCATTTGAGGAAGGGAGGAGAGTTTCATTTGTAAGATCTCTGTTTTTCCAGGACTGTGATGATTTTAATGGTGTTTAACTTCCCGAAGTGACTCTGTCACTTTAAATCAGAGTTTTCCCCACATTTTTTTCATCCCTCCTTCCCTTCCTCAGCCTCTTTCCATACAAAAACAGTTGAACTGCCCCTATGTGATGGCTGGTAGGTCTGGTTGAGAACATTTTCATCCTAATTTAAAAAAAAAAAAAAAAAAGAAAAAAAAGGTGGGGCTGAACTGAAGCAACATCTTCATGTCTGCAGGCAGTGACTCCCAGTTTGGGCTCGTACTGGCCAATGTGCTGCTCCTCCAGCAAGGCTCAGATGTTAGCAGGGTGTTATGTGTTGCTCATAAAAAAAGACAACCTTATTCATGCCTTCGAAGTATTTGGAAGCAGTAATGTCAAACCTGGGTGGGTTCCTCCTGCTCTGGGTAGAATGAGGGCTGAGCCCACTATGCCCTTTGGTCTTTCCATTGCCATCTGTGTCACATACCCTGGTTTGCCTCCCCGGTTTTGCAGCATCTCAAGAGTAGCACACATGCACACACACACAAGCAGCATGGATAAAATTAGCTGTGAAGTCAGGAGGATGGATTGGTTAACACTTTGTACGCTGCAATACCTTAACACTATATTCATGTCGCGTTGCTCTTTTTCTGTGTTTCCAGATAACTAAGTTGAAAATTGACAGCAACCCTTTTGCTAAAGGATTCCGGGACTCTTCCAGACTCACTGATATCGAGAGGTAATGGGGACTTTCTGTTTACTTTCCATGCAGATAAGATAAAGAGAAGAGAGAGTTTGTAGGAAAAGCATCCTTTCAACTCCTGAGAAGCTGTGGATTTTAATGTTATCTTGTTGCATATAGTAAGCCTCCTCCACCTTCTTTGAAAATACTTATAAACTTTATGAAGGAAGAGACAGTTTGAGTTTTGACATCTGTTCCAGTTGGGACTGATATATTCATCTTCCTTAGGGGGGTTCCTTGAAGGGGGAAGAGGGTCAGTTTTACAACTTCAGTATGAAAAGCTTTTTTCTTATTATGCCGTTTAATCCTATTGACGGCTGTGAATTGGGTCACTGGGAAAACAAGGGCAGTGGTCCTGTGAAAAACATCTTTATAGCTCCCCACTACTCCACACAGTGGAAAGAGAGAGAGGGGAGCTTCCCAAAATACACTTCAGCAGTCCCAGACACTGAAGTCAGCAATTATTGCCATGAGGACAGATCCCATAACTCCCACTCTGACGACAAAGATGCCATTTTTGTTTCACCAAAACTGTGCTACAGGCTGCATCAGGGGAAAGCTTTATCTGGAAACTGTTGAGTTTTGTGTGTGTAGAGCTCATTATAAGCAACTGCTGCCATAGGGACAGAAGCATTAACCCACAGTTGAGTAGGAAATAAACTTCAATCTCTTGGTAGCTCTCCAGTGCATCACATTTTTATGATATTGTGTGAAATAGTTTGGCAAATGAAGCAAATTAAGCTGCCCGTGTCCTTTAGTCTGGAAGAGAACTCGGTGGAGATGGATATAACACATCCAAATTTTCCTCCGAGCACACAATCATGAAAGAAAGTTTGGAGAGGCCAAAACCCTCCAGGCTTTTATGTGGGGATAGCCAGATGTAGTTGTGAATCATCTTTCATGGATGCATAGAGGGGACAAACTGCTCACTGCAGTCATAGCCATACAGCTAGAGAAAATCTCTACAGCATTTCAAAAGTATATCAACCTAAGCAGGTGGTATAAAATATGAAATAGTGGTATGTTTTATATCTTACTAGTGAGTGGATCACTAGTGAGCCACTGAGTAATTGAGTGAAAGAACAGTAATTTGGGAAAGCCAGCTTGTAGACTGCAGTGCACGCTTGCAAAGTTGTTTAAAATTGCTTCCTAAATGGAAGTCTTAGTTGAAAATGGGGAAAAAAAACAAAGCAAATTTAATTAAAACAGCATAGCCTGCTGTATTGACAGAGTACTAAGGTAAACAACATCCAAAGCTCAGGTTTGGATGCAATAAAGAGCCAAGAAAGAACCTGCAGGAACAGGAGAGACTTTGATTTTCACATTTCAGTTTCCTTGCTTTACAGACAGGCGATATCTAATGACACAGCTTTGCAATGGCTGAGAGAGGCTGACCAGATAAGCTGGGAGAAAAAGTTAGTTACCTCCAGAACCAACTATTGTGGTGCTGGATAGGAAGGGAATTTTTCCAGAGGGCATCTTATTATAATAGCACATGGCACGGAGTCAGAAATGCTGAGCACAAACTGCAGTGCCCTTTTGTTCATTGATAAGTGTAAGAATAGAGCCTGAGACAGCCTAGCCTAGGCACGAATGCTGCCATGAAAGATAAGGTGGCCAAACGGGAAACCTGCAATAAATACAAGAAACAGAACATGAAAAGTATTGACATTACATTAAAACTCTGGATTTCAGAGTCCAAGTTTGCTTAAGGTCTTATTTTGACTTAAAGTGGAAAGCTTAATCCTGATTAGGGAACAATGGTATTTAAAAAAAAACCGAAATGTGCTGCACAGCCCATCAAGTAATGAGGTAGCAAAAGTGTAACCCACAAGAAGGTTGGTAAGAGACTGAATTATCTGATATGGTCCAGAAATACCAAGGGTTTTATTCAGTCCCAGCATTAAAATATTCAGGCAGTTGAGAATGTCATTCTTTAAGTGCCCACTGGTTCTATAGATTTCATCTTAATGCCAGCACAATTGCTTAAAGAAATCGGATAGAAAGCAAAAGAAATAGCAAAGTGAGATACGACAAGAGGAAGAATTTCTTGTTTGATGTCCATCGCAGCATGCATTACAAGATGTAGGTGATACATTGACTCTTGCTCAGTCTAGTTGGAAACTTAATTATTTCTATAATAGCACTGCATGACAAAACCACTAATTTGCCAGGGAGAAGACTATGCAGGGCAAATGCATACTTGCACAGCTCTTGAAAACTGGATAGTTAATCTAGAAGCTGTGAAAAGACCTTTGTAAACAGGGATGCCTGCAGCGTGTGCATGCATAATCCACAGTGATCCTAATAGTCTCCTGCAAAGCATCCTGTGATGTTCGGACCAAGAGAGCACTCATTTGTCGCGAGTTACAGCTTTTTCCAAACGACCTAAGTAGTGTGAAAGTGTACAGAGCTTTGTATTTCATTTCCAGGTATTTAAGCCTGCTTTTTTCCTAAACAGCCTTTGGGGAGGGAAACAAATCAGATCAATTGATCTTTAGAGACCTAAAGAAATTAAATTAGTCTGGAGTCAGTTACTGCACTAAACCGTCCTGTAATTGGATTGCTCCTTGTAACTGATTGAAAACAGCCTCTATCTGTAACAATATAGGGAGCTTTTCTTTATAGTAGATCTGAGAGAAAAACACATCTTTTTATGATATGATGACAGAAATTGCACTTTTTTAACCTAATTGAATATGATTTTATAAATATGTGACTTTAACGATTTCAGGCTTCCCACTCGAGATTTACGATCCCTGTGTAGGAAATTCAAGCTGTGAATGTCTTTAGGATTAAATCTGTTTGCATTGTACATGTCAGAGTTAAAATAATTTACGTAAAGGTAGAGAAATTTGCAAAATGGTAGAGGAGGTAGGTGACAGCAAAACTATTGAAGTGTCTGTATTTTCTTTTGTTCCTGTCTAAATACCTTTCAATAGTTTCCTTATACTCAGAGCTATATATGTAAAGCTTTTAACCATTGAAAAAAATCTTTGAGTTTGATATATATTGAACTTTCAGTAAGATGTGAGATTCCTTCCACAACCAAGTCTTTCCATACATTATTCGTGGTAATTTATTTATGGTAATGGGTCAGACTTTATCTGGGGCTACTGTGATTGAGATAAGTTGCTGATTCACCTTTTGATCTTTTTTACGTGGTATTTACATTTCCTCTATTATAAAAAGGGTCCCACAGTGATTGTGATTGAAAAACTGAACATTTAGCAGCAATTGTCAGAATGTGGAGCTTAACGTACTATGGTGTTGACTGCGGGATGCCAAATGCAGTGATGTAGATGAGTGCAATCTTTTTAAATGGTAAACTTTAAATTGTGAAAAAGACTAATGCGGGTTTTATAATGAGCAGTTCACTCTGGAAATAGGCTTTAAGGGGATATCTTTATGCTTCTGCTTAAGAAAAAACTGCCAAAGCCATAAAGGATGCAAAAATCAGAACCCAAAGTTTAATTAATCTTGAGCCTGAATGCACCTTGTGAGTTGTTGTGAAGAATCAGCCTTTTAAAAATAAATATATATAAATAAAACTATCGCTATGAAGCATCATGCAAACAATCCAGGGAAAAAAGGTGATCATTTCAAGAGTGTCAGTCAACAGAATTACTGACTCGTAAAATAATGATCAAACAAGAATTGACAGAACGTAATCATGACCGGAGCATTGCTTGTCTATTTGATCCAGTATGCGACTGGCAAGTTCAGGGTGTGGATTTGTGACTATTAAAGAGAGCTAAGTGATTATACCCATCTGCACAAGTCCAGTAATGCTTCTGGGGGGTATATACGTACTTCAAGAGGCAATATGGAAAAGTATGGCTGCACACTGAAGTAATTTTTTTTAGGCAGAGAAAGGAAGGTTCAGGGGATGGGGGAAGGAAACAAGAGAGCTGCATCCCAGCATCCCAGATGGATTTGCATGGTAATCAGATTCTGAATTTTCCCCTGAGGAGCTTCATGTCTGAGATGTGGAAATACATTGTATTGGCTTACGAGGCTGTAAGTGAAATGGATGCTAATGCCTGGATACGGACACTGCCTTGTCGAAGTTGCAGTCAAAGCCATGTGCTTAATGATGTGCTGTCTGCAGCAGTCCTCTCTTCCACCCCTTCCCTGCTCACCCCACAGAGATGCCTTCCTCCCCATTCCCTTTTCTTAGGGCTGGTCTACAACAACTTCCTTGACTCTTGAAAGCCCCCTACCAACAGACAGAAATATATTCTCTCCATGGTTAAGTAGGACTTTGTCATAGTTCTCCACAAGTCAGACTCATCAGCTGATCTTTTATCCTCAGTCTGCAAATGTCAGCAACCAGCCATGGGAGATTGTCTCTGATGTTTAGGTTGGGAGAAGTGAAGTCCTGAGCTTAAAGAGAAACACCAGGGACTTCGGTGCCTAAATGCCTGGTATCTGATGCCATTCTAGATGTGCTGAGGTTACTCCAGCCACTGCTCCAGAGATCTAGATGGATTGTCTATATTTTCTGTATAATCTTTTCCAGACCATTGCAGATGGCTTGGATGTCTTAGGACATCTAGAAAGCACCACCTGCCTACATTTAGACAGCTGAAGCATTCCCTTCAAATCTGGTTCCTCCAACTCTGCTCACCTCACTGTTAGCCAGGCAACTGTTCCTTTTCCCCAGCAGAAAGCCCTCCATGTCAGCTAAAACCTCTCCAGTTTCCAAGATTTTAAGCGCTTCTTTTCCGTGTGGGTTTTCTGGAACATATATTTTTACTTGTGCAAAACAGCATAAAACTGTTTTATTTTAATAGTGTTTTCCACTCCCTTCGGGCAGCTGCAGTGTGTGCATAAGACGAGGGGATGATGTCAGATCAGACCCATGGTTTCCGCCCCAGAGGAAGTTTTCCAGGGACTTCACCCAGTCCCAGTTTCACGATACTGCTCTGTCCTCACCTCTCATCCTCTGCCTGGCAGTCAGAAAGGAATGGTTGCAGTTACTGGGTGAAGTGGAG